CACACCATCTTCACACCCCGAACAGCTATTGCTCTCTCTCTCTCTCTCTCTCTCTCTCTCTCTCTCTCTCTCTCTCTCTGTGCCTCTGTCTTGACTGCCGCACTGCCACCTGGCAGTGCTCTCTCTCTGTCCCACTTTTCTCACAACTGCTCCGAGGCATGGCAGCACTTGGGTTGGGCCGGGAAGGGCGGGGGGAGAGAGAGAGAGAGAGAGAGAGAGAGAGAGAGAGAGAGAGAGAGAGAGAGAGAGAGAGAGAGAGAAGGACGGATCGGGGGCGGGCGAGAAAGAAAGGGACTGCCTCTCTCTCTCTCTCTCTACTGCCGTGCTTTCATGTGCAGTGCTGTCCTGCTCTCTCTCTAGCGTGACTATGACCTTACTCACTCAGCAGAGTGGTTTACAATTTTGGCTTATGACCCCTTAATTCCATTCGAAGCCCCCCTATGGCGACGCTGGACATCCTGAAACCCTTGAGTGCTTTAGCAAGGCGGCAGGGTGCCCAAACCATGTTTAACCATGTTTTTCGCTTTTTTTTCGGTTTCCCGCAAGTGATGGGTTCCGATCAGGAATCAAAAACCAAAAGAGAGGTTAGTCCATCCCAGGGAATTGCACGCTACTACAAAAGGGCAGGAGGAGCAGCAGGAGGAGAAGGACGAGGAGGAGGTAACTTTTGTGCCATCTCACTGTCATTGTCCCCTCCTGTCCTCCCCTTCCTTCTCCACCCCTATCGTCTCCCTCCTATCCTCCCTGTCATCCTCATAGGACTCATCCTCCCCTTTCTCAGTCCGATTTTCAATGCTGTGCTGCCACCATACACAATTTTATCCACATCTTTATCCACGTCTTTACCCACATCTATGTCCACTTCTTTATCCTCATCCTCCCCTTTCTCAGTCCGATTTCGTCCCCGACTCCCCGGACGTGTAGAAATTCCCATTGAAATAAATAAATAAATAAAATTCCCATTGCAGTTGAGCCAACTGAACAAGTTCCAGGGACCATCCGGGCATTCTCCGGATCAGCACCCACTAGAGTTGACGTCTTCTCCAGTCAGGAAAAAAAGAAAAGAAAAAAAAAGAAGAAAAATAAAACAGCCCGGCCGACGTAGCATGTTTTGACAGCCTAAAGGTAAAAAAACCCTCGCCCCGGCAAAGAAAGCACTCGCCAACTCGAAATGAGCGGGATCTCCCCTGTAAATATGACACCGGGTCTAACACGCTAGCTTTTTTAACTCCGCGCGGTTTTCTTGGCGTAGGCGTGTTTTTTTTGCCCATTCAATACTCAAAGGTGACCTGAACGTGTACCCGGAAAAAAAAAGAAAAAAAAGAACAGGCGCACCCATCTCGATTTCATTTCCAGGCCATCAAGTTCCCACTCCCAGCCCTCGTTCAAGGGAGACATGCATCCGTTGATTGTGAGAGGTAGCTATGCTCGGAGCCTCAGTGTAGTCCACCGTACGTCGTACCCTGGGGTTTGGACGTATGAATGGGCCGGGCAGTCTCCGTCAGAAAGCGCCATGTCCCGGTGGGGCGGTGACGGTGGGTTTTTGACCCTCAGGGATGGTAGGGGGGGTCTCAAGGGCTGCGTGTGTGTGTGTGTGTGTGTGTGTGTGTGTGTGTGTGTGTGTGTGTGTGTGTG